ACTCTGCTGCATATAATGCAATGGTGGTGACGGGTGATGATCTAGCGGATGCCGTGAAAATAGCACTTGGAAATAGTTTGCCTCCTTGCACTTTGCCTGCTCAGTTGCTTGCAGCTGAAGAGGAGGTAACTTGGTTCCTAGACCAAGCAGCAGCTTCGAAGCTGTAGGAGCAGAATGTCGATGGCTTTGCAACTCGTTGCACTTGCGTCCAATGTATTTACTATGTACATGTCGATGTTAACGTGTTTGTGTTCAATAATGTAGGCAGAAATCAATGTGATTCACTGCTTGCTTTTCTTGCTATGCTAGTAAATAAGAAGAGGTGACCATTTTGGTCCTCTGTCATGTACTTTCAGTATTTCTTGCTTGTAAATAAGAAGTGGTGACATTTTGTCATGCAATCTCTGTGTTCAAACATCTTACGTGTGGATGGTGTTACTTTCCTTGTCTTGGATCTTGGCCTTTGACTTTGTCGATGGTGTCGCTAGACTCCACCTCGAGGGTGATAGTCTTCCCTGTTAGGGTTCACAAAGATCTGCATATTCTCCGGCTCTCTTTCTTCTCTCCCCCGTCTCTGTGTGTGTCTCGCTCCTGGCAGCAGCAAAACTGGTTTGCTCTACTGTTGTTTATACTAGGAGTTTGTTCCGGTCCATCTCTCTAATCACTTGGACAAAATGTTATAAAGTGAGAAACTTTTGATAGTCATTAACGTGGGACAATGAACTAGAAGGAGATTTCTATCAAAAACTCCAACACACGTTACTGATCAATTCCAACCGACTACACAGCCTCACTCGCCTTTTGTTGTTTGGGTTCCTGTTGTTGAAATATCTTACATCAACCATGTCTGTAATAAAAGAAAGAGTTTAAATATCCAACGCTCCTCCAATTAATACCGAGGATTTTTTGGATTAAGCCCCACACCTGCTAAACTATGCAAGTGGTAGGTAATTAACAAGTTCGGTATAATATATTTTTGCAAGTGAACTTTTGACCTGTCTCTATGAAGATTTCAATATGGTATCAAAGCCATGGAGCGGGTGCCGTACTGTCACGTGATGGGTGGGTCCTTGGCCCCGCGGGTAGGGTGTCTCATTGGCTCTACTTGGCTACCGATGTGTAGGGAGGCAGATTGTCTACCCTCCTCTTTAGATGCCCTTTTATCCCCTTCTATTTGTGTGGTCACGGTTAAGTCATGTCAACATTTTATATTCTTATTGTTTTTTGTCTTATTATCTCTATAAAAAAAATTAATATAAAATGTTGACGTGGCTTAACCGTGACTGCACAAAATAGAAGGGGATGAGAATGATACCCAAAGAGGAGGGCAGACAATCTGCCTCTGATGTGTAGACCTCCCAAGTATGACCCATTAATTGGGTTCCAAGCGTAATGAGATATCCTAATCTATAGCCCATGAGGGACGTGATAAAATATCTCACAACTACCATACGTATCTATGAAGAAAAAGTTTAAATATTCTAACCACACTTCAACTAATACTATGGTCTTTTGTGATAAAATTTCATAATTGTCAGACTGGAAATAATTAACAAATGGAAGACAATATCGATGTGGTTGATAATAGACAATTGACCTGTCTTTCGACACGTGTCGGCCATTTCCTCAGCCACTACCTAAAGTAAGCCTGGTTGCGCACCGATTATGGCCTCCGTATATTCCCGCCGACCCAGCTTTCCCTCTCATTCCGCACAACTCTGTCCCCATCGCATACATCTCGAGCGCCGGGAATAATCTCAATCCGATCGGCACCAAGATCTCCATCCCCTCGATTAAACCCGTTCGCTCGAATTTCAAGAACCCAATTTCCGCATCATCGGCGTAGGCAGAGATGGCGGGCCAGTGTGAGAAGAAGGTGGAGAAGTTTCAGACGGAGGAGGAAGTGGCGGTGCGTCTGGCGAAGTACACCGCCGACCTGTCGGCCAAGTTTGTGAAGGAGAGGGGAGTTTTTACCGTCGTCTTGTCCGGCGGCTCTCTCATTTACACGCTCAGGTCAGAAACATACCCCCTCAAGCATTTTCTTTTTGATAATTTCGGATTGGTTTCGGTCTGCTTAGGTTAGTTATAAGCACTTCTGTTAGAAGTGTATCATGAGCATGTAGAAATGCTTAGTAATTCAAATGTTTACTCGAAAGTATGTGCTGGTGGGTCTGCTTATGTTGTAAGCACTTCTGCTAGAAGTGATTTTATCATAAACAATTTTGTTAATTCAAGTGCTTACCGGAAAAGTACGTGCTTTTGGGTCTGCTTCTTCTGTAAACACTTCTGCTAGGAGTGATTTTATCGTATACATGTAGAAATGTTCATTAATTCACGTGCTTACTCGAAAAGTCTGTGCTTTTGGGTCTGCTTATGTTCTAAGCACTTCTACTAGAAGAAATTTGTTTATCATAGACATGCTATTAATTCAAGTACTTACTCGAGAAGTTGGGTCTGCTTATATTGTAAGCATTCCTGCCACGACCCATAAGCGCCATTCATTTTTGTTGCCTATTTAGAAGCGTTTTTGGTTGTCCAATAGCAAGTTTGATTGTTCTGTTTACTGCTTTTTTCTTTTCTTGTATTGTTGTGGGTATTTTGTATGTTTGGATTTACAGGAAATTAGCGGAAGAGCCGTATAAGGATACGGTGGAGTGGGGGAAATGGCATGTGTTCTGGCTGGACGAGAGAGTGGTGAAGAAGGATCACCCCGACAGTAACTATAAACTTGCTTTTGATGGTTTGCTCTGTAAGGTACAATTTTTTATGCTTTCTTCTGAATGCTGTGTCAAAGTACTAAATTTTGCAATATTGCGTGTCAAAGCCGTGATTTTTATGTGGTCGATTTTTAATTTTAGTTGCTCTTATTGTTTTGCTTGCTCCTTGTGAAGATTCATAGTAATTTGATTTATATGTGAATGAGATTGGTGAGTGATATGGCTCTTTGTATCAGTGTAATTAATGGACAATCTGAAATTTGGGAATTTCGGGTCGTGCTTCTGTTTTTAGGGTTCGATATGGCAATGATGATGGTTATGAGATGAAGAAAGAAATGTACTCTTTTAACTCTGTCTAGAGTAAACATTTGATGCGTGACTATGATCTAAAGCATTCTAAGCCCTCCAAGGGCCTAATGGCACAAGGTCGTTAATTCATCAGCTTAATCTTGCTAAATTTTGGATTTTGGCAGGTACTGATTCCCCCTGGTCAGGTTTACGCCATTAATGATGCACTTTCGGCCGAGGCAGCAGCAGAAGATTACGAAACCTGTCTTAAACATTTGGTCCAGCGCAATGTGATTGCCACTTCAAAAGCTACTGGATTTCCAAAGTTTGATCTCATACTTCTGGGTATGGGTCCAGATGGACATCTTGCTTCTCTATTCCCTGGTCATGCGCTTTGCAACGAGAAGACGAAATGGGTGACTCACATTATGGACTCCCCAAAGCCACCTCCACAGAGAATTACTTTTACTTTTCCGGTGATCAACTCTGCTGCATACAATGCAATGGTGGTGACAGGCCATGACACAGCTGATGCCGTGCAGAAAGCACTCGGAAATATTCAGCATCCTGATACTTTGCCTGCTCAGTTGCTCGCAGCTGAAGACGAGGTAACTTGGTTTTTAGATCACGATGCAGCTTCCAAGCTGTAGGAGCAGAATGTCGATGCGTTGCACTTGCATCCAATGTATTTCCTATTTACATGTCGATGTTAATGTGTTTGTGTTCAATAATGTAGGCAGAAATCACTGTGATTCGCTGCTTGCTTTTCTTGCTAGTAGTAAGAACTCGTGACCTTTTTGGTCCTCTGTGGTGGCAATAAGAACTGGTGACCTTTTGGGTCCTCTGTGATGTATATTTCAGTAGTGGTAAAGCTACTATATATTCTGCTGCTCTCCGTTCCCTCGTACCACGGCGGTTGTTTAACCGTCGGCGTCGGAAAAGCACCTTGCCGCAGACACAGACTGCGAAAGTTGTCTTAAGTGGGTCCTCTGTGATGTATATATTTCAGTAGTGGTTTAGATTGCATGCAAGTAAGTTTGTCTTAAGTGGGCCTCAGCTCTTAAGTAGTAAAAGCATGTTTGCGAAAGTTGTTTGATATTGCTTAGACTAAAAACACTTGTAACTCGTTTGGATGTGTTTTTAAAATGATTGAAAATGTTTTTGGTGAACATGTTTTAGAATTAATTCTTAGTAAAAATGCAAATAAATCTTGGAAAAACACTTAAAGTGCTTCCTGGAAGCAGCACATAATTGGTGATTCCTGGAAGAAGCACATAATTGGTGCTTCTTGCATAAAGCACTTTAAGTGCTTTTGGAATCCAAAAATATTTTCTCTAAAAGCGTTTTTAATCATTTTAAAAACACATATAAACGAGCTATTATGCTTTTACGACTAAAAAATGCTTATAAGTTTTTCAACCAAATGTAATTAGGAGTGATTTTTTTTTATGTCATAAAGCACTCTTAGCTGTCCAAAATTTGTCTCAAACGTAACTTTCAAGCGATCAAAAGCTTTTCTTTCAGGATAAAGTATTTTTGCTACCAAAAGCGCTTTTGACCTAGTTTATCAAAATGTGTTTATTTGTTAATGAAAGTATTGTTGACACAGTTTATGTATTTGTATTTGACACTGTTTAATAGAAAATGTTTTTCGAACTAAAAAACGTTTTTTAGATGAAGTTGTGTCCTGGACAAAAAAGAAGAAGATGAAGTTGTGTCATATTCGACATGCTTATAAGTGCTTCTAAATTGTATAAAAGTTGGAAGAGCTTTTTACCAATGCAATTTTAAAATTTTAAGTAGACGCTAACTCATATACACGTGAATCGTAAATTTTGTACATAACCAACTGAATTACAAATATCTTGCACCGCACGAGTTGGTAAATGTTGTAAAATTATCGACGTAATTTAAATAAAAAAATAATTATCAAACGGGCCTTAATTCATATCCACAAGTCCATTGGGTTCACCGCCCAAGTCAGTTAACAGTCACTGACCAACTCCCTCCAACTGCAGTCCACCGTAACCGTACTTCATCACTCACCGTTTGACTTTTGTGGCCCGGTCGGTTTTTTTCCGCAGCCAATACCTAAAGTAAGCCCGGGTGCGCACTGCGCATGGCCTCCGTACGCTCCCCGACCCGTCTTTCCCTCTCACTCGGCACGACTCTCTCCTCATCGCGTACATCTCGCGCGCCGGCGATAATCTTATTGCGATCGGCGCCAAGATCTCTATCCCTCTCGATTAAACCCGTTCGCTTGAATTTCAAGAACCCAATTTCCGCATCATCGGCATCATCGGCGGCAGCAGAGATGGCTGGTCAGTGTCAGAAGAAGGTGGAGAAGTTTCAGACGGCGGAGGAAGTGGCGGTGCGTCTGGCGAAGTACACCGCCGACCTGTCGGCCAAGTTTGTGAAGGAGAGGGGAGCTTTCACCGTCGCTTTGTCCGGCGGCTCTCTCATTTACGCGCTCAGGTCAGAAACAAACCCCCTCAAGCATTTTGTTTTTTTTTTAATAATTTCGGATTGGTTTGGGTCTGCTTAGGTATAATCAATCACTTCTGCTAGAAGTGCTTTTATCATGAACATGTAGAAATGTTTAATAATTCAAGTGTTTACTCGAAAAGTATGTGCTGTTGGGTCTGCTTATGTTGTAAGCACTTCTGCTGGAAGTGATTTTATCATAAACATGCACAATTTTTTTGTTATTTCAAGTGCTTACTGGAAAAAGTACGTGCTTTTGGGTGTGCTTTTGCTGTAAGCACCTCTGCCAGGAGTGATTCATGTAGAAATGTTTATAAATTCACGTGCTTACTCGAAAAGTATGTGCTTTTGGGCCTGCTTATGTTCTAAGTACTTCTGCTAGACGTGATTTTATCATAAATACGCAGATTTTTTTGTTAATTCAAGTGCTTACTCGAGAAGTATGTGCTTTTGGGTCTGCTTATATTGTAAGCATTTCTGCCACGCCACATAAGCGCCATTAATTTGTTTGCCTGTTTAGAAGCGTTTTTGGTTGTTCAATAGCAAGTTTGATTGTTTTTATTACTGCTTTTTTATTGTATTGTATTTTTATGAGTATTTTGTATGTTTGGATTTACAGGAAATTAACGGAAGCGCCGTATAAGGATACAGTGGATTGGGAAAGATGGCATGTGTTCTGGGTGGATGAGAGAGTGGTGAAAAAGGATCACCCCGACAGTAACTATAAACTTGCTTTTGATGTTTTACTCTCTAAGGTACAATTTTTATGAGTATTTTTTATGCTTTGTCTTGATGTTTTACCGAATAGTGGTTGGATTTGAGGGCACGATATTGTGCATAGTTTGTAGCCAAAATGATGTGAGTTAATGAGTGAGTACGTCAGTTAATTGAACCTAATAAGTAGCTAGTTATCGGAAGAAGAAATAAATTTGTCAACCAAACGAAGAAAGAATGTATGTGAACGAAAGATCAGAAGACTGATGTTTGTAATTCGGTTTATATATGATTGAGAAATTGGTGAGTGGTATGGCTTCTTTGTCACAGTGTGTATCAATTAACAATCAAGATATGACAGTTGGAAATTGGTCTCGCTTTTGTCTGTAAGGGTTCGATCATGAGATGACGGTTCTGGTCGGGAAAAAAAAGCGTTGATGTTACCAAATAGTGGTTGGATTTAAGGAGATGATATTGTGCATGTTTTGTGGTAAAACATGATTCGGTTTTAGTTAGTACATCGGGAAATTGAAACTAATAACTAGTTGGTCATGGGATGAAGAAAGAAATGTACTCTTTTAACGGTGTCTAGATTAAATATTTGATGTGTGACTATGATCTAAGCATTCTAAGCCCTGCCTAATGGCACAAAGTCGTTAATTCGTCAACTTAATCTTGCTAAATTTTGGATTTTGGCAGGTACTGATTCCCCCTGGCCAGGTTTACGCCATTAATGATGCACTTTCAGCTGAGGGAGCAGCAGAAGATTACGAAACCTGTCTTAAACATTTGGTTCAGCGCAATGTGATTGCCACTTCAAAAGCTAGTGGATTTCCAAAGTTTGATCTCATTCTTCTGGGTATGGGTCCGGATGGACATCTTGCTTCACTATTCCCTGGTCATCCGCGTTGCAACGAGAAGACAAAATGGGTGACTCACATCGAGGACTCACCAAAACCACCTCCAGAGAGGATTACATTTACCTTCCCAGTGATCAACTCTGCTGCATATAACGCAATGGTGGTGGCAGGCGATAATAAAGCTGATGCCGTGCAGAGAGCACTGGGAAACAGTCAGCATCCTGATACTTTGCCTGTTCAGTTGCTTGCGGCTGAAGACGAGCTAACTTGGTTCTTAGACCAGGGTGCGGCTTCCAAGCTGTAGGAGCAGAATGTCGTTGGCTTTGCAATTCGTTGCACTTGCATCTGATGTATTTGCTATTTACATGTCGATGTCGATGTTAACGTGTTTTGTGTTCAATAATTTAGACAGAAATCACTCTGATTCGCTGCTTAGCAAGAACTGGTGACCTTTTCGGTCCTCTTTGATGCATTTTTCAGTAACGGATACAATTTTCTTGTAAACCTTTTGTCATGCAATCTGTGTGTCCAAGCAGCTTATCACAATGTGCAACTATATATTCTGCTGCTCACCATTCCCTCGTACCACTGCGATTGTTTTACCGACAGCATCGGTAAAGCAACTTGCCTCGAACACCATTTGGTTTGTGTTCTTGGCTTCCGCCAAGCGACTCCATGGTCGAATACGTTTGGTCTCTCATTTTGTTTTAGGGTGTTTTAACAAAAAGTTCATGGTACTGTTCACTTTAACGAAAAACCATATTTTTACACTAAAAAATCAAACATGCTACTATTCACTTTACCCTTTATTTTGTCCTTATCGTTAAAACTCAAAGTTTTCAAACCATTTTCATTAGTTTTCCTTTTGTTTTAATCTCACTCGTTGCGAGAGCTCTTGTAATCAAACAATCTTATTAAAATTTCTCTCATGAAATTGGGCTATAACGTTTTTATTTTTTAACTAATAAAATCTTTATTCTCGTCGCGCTTGCATGAAAGTTTCTTTCAGTCTCAAGAATGAAGACTATTAACAAGAACCACACCCTTAAGAAAGAAAGGATCTTTTATCAATGAAAGTATTAGCGGGTTATTTACTTGCTTAAGCAGCAGTAACAACAACAACAAAATATTTGAAGTCGGTTGTATGAATCTTAAAATGTCATTGAGCTGAGTTTTATGCTGAGCAAATCTGTAAAAATTATGAAACCAAGGACTGACTTTGAGCATGTGACCTTGTTCTTGCAGACAATCATCCACTTGCTTAATTATGTTTAGTTTAATCGATTACGTACATTGTATGGTGCTCATTCAGATAAGTGGCATAATTAATAAAATCGATGAAGTTGTAAACTTTTGTATCTTTCCATTTCCATCCAACCAAAAACTGACTTGGGTTTCTAAACTTTGCATCCAAGTCCTCAAAGATTTCGTCTTTATTTACTCCCAAATTCCCCATCAATCTTTCAAGCAACGGAGAGATGCATTTGGCCCAAAAAGATAATATATTTTATTAAACAAGAAGCACATCTTCTGCTTATGTTCATGTTAATGTGGCCAAATGAAATGAACCTCACTTCGTATGGCTTTGGTGTTGGGATCTACTATAAAACAAAACAAGTTCATTGAACCTCCAAACCAAGAAGATCACAATTTCAAGTATAAACCATTGTGATTATGTATACTAGTTGTTGAAGGGGTTGTAAAGGAGGAGAAAAAATCTTCAGACACAAAATCTGACCAGCTGGATAGTCAATCACTTTTATAAGAAAAATGAGTCACTATATTTGGATATCATGTAATTCTATGTAGGTACGACTTTTAATGAAATTGTGTGCATCCCATATGAAAGCGGCATGACTAGTTGACTGGTGACGCTGTCCTATCGAAGTTTTTCTCTTTGAAAATGGTACATATGTGCTAAGATGTTATTGATAATTCAATTTGAGATGATTTAGTTTATGAGTTCAAATCTCATGGACAAACTTCATTAAACAAAAAGAAAAAAGGAAAAAGGTTAGTGATAGTGGAGAGGAAAACGAATGATAGTGGAACCATTGTGCTTAATGAATTTGGGTAATTACCTCATTAGGTTTGCTAATTAAGTTTTTGCCAAAACAACTTTTGAGAATGGGTCACATAGTTGATCTCACGCTCTTTAATTAAATGTGTTAAAGGAGGATGCATGCTTTAAGAACAGCAGATTGATGAAACCTGCATATTCTACATCAGCAGGCATGAATTGGTTGTCCCATGGTCTCACTTTGAAGGGTTTACTGTGATTCGGATATCTCTTTATATTATTATCTTTCTCATCACGCGACATATCGATTGCAGCTAAAAAAACTTCATTGCTTCGCGGCTCGAGATCATTGTCTACAATCTTTCATGATAATGATAGGTGATAGAAGTGCAAACGTACAAAGGGCCCTGTCCCCCTGCATAAGATCATCATTTGCATATGTTTTTTGAGAAATGTCATAAGACTTTCATAAGGGAGACTCTCTATAAATTTTTTGCATTCCACAGTTTAACATTAATTTTTGTACGAACATTATAAAACATTAGACCAATAACATAAAATGACAAAAAGTTGATGAAAAATCTCATTTTTTGGAGAATCCCCGCTAACATTTGTCTCTACTTTTTATGTAACTTGTATATGATCACAACAGAAAAGTAAAAAAGAAAAAGAGCAACTGTAGTAAAAAAAAGTAAAAGAAAAAGAAAAATAGCAATAATAATATAAAGGGTAAAAAAAGAAAAAGGAGAGATTTTATTTTCATTACCATGTCAAAAGCACCGCGCCCGATTTTGTTGACTATAAGCACTTTTCCAGTTGGTTTAACAATGTGCCAAAGTTTGCACAAACAACAAAACTAGTAGGGCAGATTTTGAGCACTCTCTATCTAAGTGTGCATAACATGATGACTAATTAAGTAAAGTGGCACACCACTATTTCTTTATCGTTAATTTAAGCAAATTAATCATGCCTAATCGACCTAGTCAAACTGGGTTTGATCATTTTTTAATATGTTTAACTAAAACAGTTCATTGAAAAAGCAATTGTACTGCAGTTAACGAAAAATCTACAATACTCGTGAGTAAGATACGTTGTTAGTTACAGTTTGTAGATTCAATTCAATGAATGTTTAATTTTCTTCGACAATCGTTTGATTGGATATAAAAATTTTGAATGGTAGAATTTTCAATACTCTGAAGTATGATAACATTATTAACATCTCACGAAGTTAGTTAATTAATTATTTATTTGTTTTAGCATGGGAGTGGTAATAATAAGTTAAGCATGCTGATTGCTGAGGAGGTCAAGTAATTAAAGGGAGTAGTTGTATTAGTATAATTATGGAGGAGGAGGTAAGAAGCAAGTTCTCAATCAGAAATAACAGTGGAGTTTGGTGAACTTGTCAACTAAAGGAAAATGTTCATCTCCGGATCTCTTCTACTAAGATTACCGGATCAAGTGATTCGGACCTTTGAAATTTCATCCAACGGTCCAACTGTTTTGATCTCTTAAAAACTATAATATTTTTTTATCGTTAGATGAAATTTTAAATACTCATATTACTTGATCCGATGATCTTTGTGAAAGAGATTCTCGGAATCTCTTCCCCCAACTAAAATCAAGCATGTGGCTGTGGTTATAAACCTACCAAACTTCACAGATCCCTAAAATTTGCTTCTCTTGATTGTGACTCTACATAAAAGCTCTGGTTTTCAATTTTCTTTCATCGAAGTAGGGGAAGATTTTTAGGGTCCGTCTCGTAACGTTTTATAAAACGATTTTAAAAATTGTTTCGTAAAATGAAAACGACAAATAGGATTTTGTATTTTTTGTGATTTGGAAATGTGTCTAGTAATTTAGTTTGAGAATGATTTCAGAGAATGAGAACATTGAAAACGCGTATGGTACTAAATGTAAAAAAAAATATATACGTATATAAATTTTACGTTTGGTAGTAATTGTGGCATTGGTGGTAAGGATAGTGTGGTTGAGACGAGAGTGGAGTTGGTAGAAATGGTGGTTGGAGTATTGGTAGTAGTGGTGAGAATAAACGTGTTAGTAGTGGTGGGATATAGGTGGTGGCAATAGTGGGGTAGAGGGCAATGGTGGTGGTGCTGACGATGACGACTATGATGATGGTAGAGGATGATTGTGTGAACAATGGTTATGAGGGATGGTTTTGAAAATGGTGGTTGAGATGCAGGGATGATGGAGGTGGTGGTGGCTATGGTGAGGGTAATGGAATGGAGAATGTGGTTGTGATGGTGGTGGCAGCGATAGTGGTGTGAGATGATGGTAATGATGGCAATGGTGGGACAGTGGAGGTGGTGATGACCATGGTGGCAGGATTATGGCGATGCATAATATGATGGCGTCGGAGGTACAAGTTGTGGTGGTCATGCTGATACAGTGGTGATTATGGTAGTGTACTTACAAAACATATTTTCTTCTTGAGAATTCTCTCATAAGCATTTTTGTTATAGGTGTTTTTATTAGAAACACGCTAAAATTCATATTAAAAATCAAAGTGCTTCTACTAAAAATACTTTTGTAAATTAGAAACATTTGTATATAACGCAATTACAAGTGTTTTTATTGGTCATAAAAACACTTATAATCATTCAAGAAGGAGTCCAAACAAACAATTAATACAGGAAATGATATCCCTAATGTACTCATATCATTTAGTTATTAAATTAAATAAGTCAAATGAGAATGAGAAAATAGACAAGTGTAAAAGAAGATAATCGAGACGCATAAATCATTTCCTCTTAATTAACAAAGGAGTAATGTCATATCATGCATCCAATTGCCTAATTTTCCATCTCACATGATTGGGTTAATTAGTCATATAATCCCTAAATATAATAAAGTGACAAGAGACCTAATACAATTAACTAAAAAAAATGCTTGATTAGTATACAATACCTAATGTTAAACACAAATTAGGAAACGCTTGACCTACCCTCAAAAAAAAAAAAAAAAAAACAAAAAAACAAAAGGAAACGCTTGACCTAGAATTAGTAAGCTAATGGAAAATGAGAAATGCTAACAAGCTCATTTAAAGTGTGACTCTTCACAAATTCTCTATTAACCCACAATTTAACGTCATTTTTTGTGCTAATATTATAAAATATTGTGTCAAAATATACAGAGTTTATGAAAAATCATACTTTTGAAAGAGGCGGTTAGCATTTCTCATAAAAAAAAAAAGAGTAAACTGTCGATTTGCCCCTAAACTATCATCCAACTTTTGATTTCCCCCTTGAACTTTTTAATTGGAAAATTAAGGACTTGAACTAATTTTTTTGGCCGATTTGCCCCTGCTGTTAATTTTTCATTCATTCCATCCAAAATTCTGTTAAATGGAAGCATGTGCACAACATGTGTGGGTAGTTTGATCGTTTCATTCTTTAAAATAATTGAAAACCTTAGATTTCTAAAATATAAACCTATGCAAATATGTGTGAATCTATAACTTTTATGTCTGAAGGTTTAG